TTTGCTTTATGTCTAAATTTATATATATATATATATATATATATATATATATATATATGTATATAATGTTTTATAGGAATTTTGTTTGTAGTTTTGAAAATAATGAAATGATTAGAATGTGTTCAGCTGTTCAAAGGCTCATTTAAAATTATGGTGATAGTTAAATATTTGAATATAGTATTTCAGTACTCGGTAATATTTGTCTATATGATTAGGTTAATGTGTATAAATAAATAAATACGGAACTGTTCAGATTAAATGAAGTTTGGTATGGTGTTTTCATCCATATATCACATTTCTTGTGTGGAATTCGTATATAATGGTGTTACAATTAGGCCACCGACGGCCTTCATTTCTAGACTCACAATCAAACAAATCTCACAGAGACATCTCCTTTAATATGTACACTATTATTCATTCAATATGTACAACTTAGGCCTATATACAATCATATTCAAAGTTTGAACATGGTTCCAGCCTGTTTCACAAGTATGATATCTCTCGGATACAAACTTGTCTCTCGAATTGAAACTGGATGGCCCTCTCAAATTCAAACTGGAGGTCTCTCTCTTACTTTAAAATCCTACAGACTTTTTATAGCACTTATAAACTTGTTACATTGCCTCAGATTGGCTAAATTTTAAACATCAAATAAAATTCATGTCTCATATTTGCCAAGTATTTGAAAGTATTAAATTACCACTACAAAACATGCTTCTTTCTAATTTGTCTATTTAAAAGTCTCGCACATCTCAGAGTACACATAAATCACAGGTCATAATTATACTGGTCAAATTTTAAGGGCATGTAGCATTGACCATTGATAATAGTAATAATAGTTAGTAAGGAATAAGATAATGATATCATCTATGCCTATTATCAAATTAGTAGTGGTTTGGCGCAGGGGGAACGGTTTCGTTTTCCAACCTCGAGATCGGGGTTTCAATCATCTCCCTGTGCATTCTACTTGTGTCCTTCTACTTGCAGCCGTCGCCGCCGCCGCCGCCGCCGCCGCCACTATACTATATAATATTTAGTACAGTTTCCCTATAACTAAATTTAAATACACTTAACTACTAACACTTAAATAAAAAAATGAAATAAAACAATGTTATAAACGCCTACATAAGAATGTACTTATCAGCACATTTTGAATATAAACTTCACTGTCGTCCGTGTCAAAAAGTAAGAATAAGACATACAAAATGTTCAGCATTCAATGACTGTAATTATCTTTAATTTTAAAATTTGTCAGCAGTTGTCGGCTTAAAGTCATCTATTAAAAAAATCAAAGGTCAAAATTGTTTCACACGCAATATTCAGCTAAACAGTACAAATATATTCAAAAATTAACATTAAACATTTTCAGCAGTGATGTATCTATTGGCAATTATAGATCCAATGCTCCTGAACGAAATGTATTTGGAATATCGGCAATGTTTAGCTATATCAATGTTTATAATTCAAGGGAAAAAATCAGCACCGTCCAGTCATATATATACACCGACACATAATTCTTCAACGTTCAAGCTGTTCATTTTTTGTGGTGTAACCACCACTTTTATTTATGAAACACACATATATAAAAAACAAAAATATAAGGGACAGGAATAAATGTTAATAGGCCTATAAATTAATACACTTTTAGAGGTGAGTTGAGTGGCCGAGCGGTAGGTAGGGACGCAGTACAACCTTAATATCAGGGCTGGTTTCAGCCGCTCCACACCCATTGTTCAGGTGGTAGGAGCAAGTCTTCTCGGATAAGGACTTAAAGCGGAGGTCCAGTGTATACATCTGGCTCATGTGCACTTTACAAGAACCCACTGCATCTTTCGAAAGAGCAGGTGTTACCTTGATGTTATGGTTCATTGTTATGGTGATTTAAAAACATTCTTTTCATCACAATTGAGAGAAAAAATGTGGGTCTTCGTTTTTTGGGTCTTCGGTCTTCGTTTTGTAGACACCCATATTATATGATCGAGTGTCTATAAAACGGATTTTATGACACTGCATTTTATTTTTCATTTGTTGCTTCCCTTGATGTACACACATATTTGTGCTATATGATCTAGTATTTAACTTTAGTATGTACTATATGAATAATAAGTAACTTCACTAAATAAGTCTAATTTATAATCTTGCTTGCTCAGAATCATTATCTGAATTCGAATCATTTTATTATACTATTGATATGTTGATAGTATAACGTACTGGTATCTCCCGATAAAAAATATATCATTTTTAATTTAACTTGGCCTTTTACTTTATTAACATGTCCAAACTTATATTTTATATAGTAGCTAAGCATGTAGTTAGGTTTAGATTACTGGAGGCTCCAAACTTTCATCACGGTGATTTTTTTTAATAGCTTTTAGGGCGCAAATGCAGCATCACTTGTCTGAATAAATAATTTAAATGAAAATGACAACTAAAATGATCCGGTAACACTTTAATGTATACGGACATACCGGTAATTAGTGAAGACTGTACGTTGAAAATTCGGATTAATATAATGTACGAGTGACAATGATGTTGGAATTATGCATTGGAAAGATGCTCATTCAGGTACGAGCATCGTTATTTTAAGTGAACTATTGATATGTTGATAGTATAACGTACTGGTATCTCCCGATAAAAAATATATCATTTTTAATTTAACTTGGCCTTTCACTTAATTAACATGTCCAAACTTATATTTCTATATAATAGCTAAGCATGTAGTTAGGTTTAGATTACTGGAGGCTCCAAACTTTCATCACGGTGATTTTTTTTTAAATAGCTTTTAGGGCGCAAATGCAGCATCACTTGTCTGAATAAATAATTTAAATGAAAATGACAACTAAAATGATCCGGTAACACTTTAATGTATACGGACATACCGGTAATTAGTGAAGACTGTACGTTGAAAATTCGGATTAATATAATGTACGAGTGACAATGATGTTGGAATTATGCATTGGAAAGATGCTCATTCAGGTACGAGCATCGTTATTTTAAGTGAACTATTGATATGTTGATAGTATAACGTACTGGTATCTCCCGAGAATATACCGGTGCCATTTATTGAAAAAGATTCCAAGCAGTGTTTTAATAAAATATAGAGTTCAAAATGGAGTCAATACCTATAACAGCTATTAAGCACTCTTGGGGAGCCATGATTTGGATATTATAAATAGTGAATAATGTCAATATTCATAGCAGAGAACAAAATGGAAAAAAAAAACAAATAAAGCTGATAGATATGAATGGTAACTAGACCGTAATGGTGCATTTTTCTTTACTTTGAGGGAATAGCCCTCCAGAATACTAACAATCATATCTTCACAGAGTCACAATCTCATAAAATAAAATCATCAAGTGGGACAGAGAACAATAAATAATAAAGCAATATTAATTAAATTAACAAACGGTAAAACGAAAAGTTGTTACCAGTAGGCCCACTTGTTTGTAGAAGCGACGGGTATTTATTACACTGCTGTTTTACTGTCAATATTCAATTTCGTCATCGTCATCTGAAAATGTATATTGTGATATATTGTCACAGTTGGAAAGTTGGCAATGTCCACAAGCTGCAGTGCATTCCAACCCATGTTTTCTGCAACTACATTTGGTTGTGCTCCTTCTTGCAGAGCAGTTGCATCGGATTATTTTGAGTAGTGTGTCAGGTGCTGGTTTATTGTCCGTCATTTTTGGAACTAGTTTGTCGCCTTTTATATCCCAGCCCCATTCAGCAGGATCCATACCACTCCACTGCATGACTTGCAAATATGTTCGCCGAGAGTGAAATTTTGTGGCCGAGGTTGTTGGAGGCAGTTTTTCAGGTTTTACAAAAGTCTTTGCTGTGACCACTTTCTTGCAAAGGAAATTGTAACGTAATAGGTCTAAGAGTAATTCATTGTAGAGCACACGAAACTCGAATGGAAGCAAATAAATCTAATATTAAAATACTACATTATAAATATAAAAACAAACTACTCCACTAAACATTAGATCGAATTTTGACTGGCTACCTTCTTGAATCAGTTACATTTAAGTACGTTGTATAGGCCTACCTGTATTATTCTTCGTGATTAAAGTAGCACCTGAAGAAGGACGAAGCTCGAAATTTTGTGTTAGTTTCAAATAAATTTTACGAAAATTGTATACTTACGTTTTTGCAGCCCATTACCTGTACTTATTTGTGCCCTTAATATATGACTTTGTAGACGCTCGTCAAACTTCTCTATCTTTCAATTAAGTTGAATTGGATTTATTTGGGATTTAACATTAAGAATAAGCTACGAAACTGCAGATTTATTTTCATTGGGGTCCCACTGGTAGTGATTGGGAATAGGCCTGTCACTCCAAAATTGGTTCAGGCCAAAAAATATCAGACGGACAGATTTTGGCCGCCAAAGTCGGTCCGCCGGACTACTTTTGGCCGCTAAAGTCGGTCCACCGAGTTGATTTTAGTCCGCTAAAATCGGTCCCCCTTGGATAAAAGTGGTCCGTCGGCCTGGCCGCTTGTAACGCGTCTGCTGCCCTTAGGGCATGATTGTTTCTCCCGTGGAGAGGAGGGAAGTAATTTACACTGCTCCCACACTTGAAAAATCTTTTGCAGTGTGACAAAATAATTCGTAGGCCTATTAAGCTTTTGTGGATGTGCTTGGCCTAGGTTTGGGCCTAAAATGGAACAGTCTGATTTATTCGTTTTAAATATTCCATTGTGTTGAGTATTAGGTCATACAATAGTTGTTCTATTACATGAAAACAAAGGGGTCAGTAATTTCTTTAAAATGATTGCTCATGTATTTTGTGGTGGCGTTAAGCCCCTGAACAAATATTTCCTGACACCCCTATAGAGCGAGTGACCCTACTCCTTTGGGAGGAGTGCACTGTCTCTTTCTTTACATGGCTCATGTTGTACACGGATGATGATGACGAAAGTTGATGCACTTTATATACCTGAATTTTAGCGCCACAAATGAAATAAAA